TAGACCAAAACTTACTCCAGTTCAGTACATCCACACTACTACTGTGCAACAAATCTACAGGGCCAAATTTAATATAAACCCTTGCCCTAAACGCTTTCTTGATAGTTGTGACAAAACCCCACGGGGCATAACACCGCACAAACTCTCTCGACACCCCCCGTGTCCGACAAAACCCTTTTAAAAAAATTCAATGTATGTAAAAGGCCCCTAAAATCGGGAAATACCCTACCTGAGAACTCAAAAACTGGGAACATTCATCACCTTCAAAACCCATTAGAAAAATCTTATCCCCCTGATACACCCCCTCAATAACTAACGAATACCCCTGGGGTTCACACTTACCCACCACTCATTTCCAAAAAACAAAAATTAATCTCAATCTTAAATAAGGAATCCTGTGATATCCAATACTAAAAACTATGTACTGTGCAAAAAAAAGCATTCACATTGAAAACCACAAACTAATTTTCATTGCAAATACCAACTTACCTAAATTTGAAATTTATTTTAAATTTTAAAATAAAACTAAGTCTGCCCAAATGCCTAGCCATCAAGCGTTTTTGGTCCTCTGTAATCCCTTTTTCTACATGTAAACCACAAATAAACCCAAAATTTTTGTAAATCAGCATTGTAATCCTTATAAGATAAATTTGAATTGCAATTTTCAAAACGATTTAATTCTATAAAATTATACAATAGAGATACCCTTAATATTGAGGGGCCTGAGTGTATTAAACCAAGGGGAAATTTTTCCCCGGGGCCGTCCATTGGCGCGCGCCAGTCCCTCCTCCCTTTTTCACTTTTTACCTTTATTTTGGGGCCCGTAAAAAACACGTTTTTCCTCACTCTCCACCAGGAACAGTTTTTCGAACTTCCCATTATGAAAAAAGGGGTATAATCCTTAGGGCCCCCGTGAATGCCAATTTTTTGGTTCCCTGCTTTCCAGCATCCCCACTACTTTAAAAAACTCCCCCCCCCCCGTGCCCCCGTTCGACCTATACCCCCCCACTCTGCGAAAAGGGACGGGCCCCGTTGGTTCATTTAAAATACAATACATTTTTACCCCAAAACAACACTTAAAACTTTTGAGGCACTATAGCTCGGGAAATTTAAAAAATTTCCCCAAGGTTGGTAACATAAGATGGGGCTGTACAAGAAGTCATGCTAGGGGGTGGGAAGAGGGATAGGGTTAAAAAAATGGAAAAAATGAAAAAGGGGAGTTGAAACCGTTCTTTTTGGAGTACTGTGCTTTTGGGGGATTCTCAAGAAAAATTCAAAGGTTTTGTGGAGGATTTGGGAGGGGTGTAAAACTAGAAAGTTTAGAGGAATATAGAAGAGTAAAGGGGATGAGGGTATCAAACAATTTAGATAAAGAAAAAATTTGGGAAATTTCATTCGAGGGGTAAGATGGAAAAAGTGAATGTTTTCAGATCTTGGGGGGGTTGGGCCTGTCACGATGGGTATTGAAAGATGAGGGGAAACCTAGAAAAAGCGAAGATAAAAGGGAGGGTGCACTGGTATCTGTAAGACAAAGAAAGAATCCCTGGAGGCAAAGAAAAGGAATACATGTATATGAGAGTATAGTGGTATCACCACTCTTATATGGGTGTGAAGCATGGGATGTAAATGCTGCAGGAGGAGGCGGCTGGAGGCAGTGGAGATGTCGTGTCTAAGTGCAATGTGTGGTGCAAATATTATGCAGAGAATTCGTAGTGTGGAAATTAGGAGGGAGAGTGGAGTTGTACTAAAAGTATTAGTAAGAGGGCTGAAGAGGAGCTGTTGAAGTGGTCTGGTCATTTAGAGAGAATGGAACAAAGTAGAATGACTTGGAGAGCATATAAATCCATTGGGGAAGGAAGGCGGGATAGGGGTCATCTCCGAAAAGTTTGGAGGGCGGGGGTAAAGGAGGTTTAGTGGGCGAGAGGCTTGGACTTCCAGTAAGCGTGCATGAGCATGTTAGACAGTAGTGAATGGAGACAAATGGCTTTTGGGACCTGATGGGCTGTTAAGGGATTTAGGGAAACTGGTTGGCCAGACTTGAGTCCTGCAAGTACAATGCCTGCACTTTAAAGGAGAGGTTTAGGATATTGGTAGTTTGGAGGGATTTCTAAACCGTCGTATTTGAGTGCCTCTGCAAAGACAGTGATTATGTATGAGTGATGGTGAAAGTGTTGAATGATGAAAGTTTTTTTTTATTTGTTTTTGGGTTTTTCTTTCTTTTTGGGTCACCCTACCTCGGTGGGAAGCGGCCAACGTGAGAAAGTGGAGCAGAGAGTGAGAAGAGAGAGGAGAGAGAGAGAGAGAGAGAGAGAGAGAGAGAAGAGAGAGAGAGAGAGAGAGAGAGAGAGAGAGAGAGAGAGAGCAGAGAGAGAGAGAGAGAGAGACAGAGGACAGAGAGACAGAGAGAGAGAGAGAGACAGAGAGAGACAGTGAGAACAGAGAGAGAGAGAGAGAGAGAGAGAGAAGAGAGAGAGAGAGAGAGGAGAGAGAGAGAGAAGAGAGAGAGAGAGAGCAGAGAGACAGAGAGACAGAGAGACAGAGAGACAGAGAGACAGAGAGAGAGAGAGAGATGCAAGAACTGTGTCAAAACTGTCAGTGGTTGATCAGGCTCTGATCCACCAGGAGGCCTGGTCACAGACCGGGCCGCGGGGGCGTTGACCCCCGGAACTCTCTCCAGGTAAACTCCAGGTCTCCAGGTGACAATAAAGCAGGATGAGGTGCATTTCCTTCTTAAATCGCTTGACCAAGAAAAGGCTGTGGGCCCAGACAAGTTGAGCCCAAGATTGCTGAGAAGATGTGCAGACCAGCTAGCAGCACCTCTAACTTGCATCTTTCAGCACTGCCTAGTACAGTGTAAATGGCCCTCTCTATGTTAAGAGGCAAATGTAGTCCCTGTTCACAAAAAGAAGAGCAGAGCAGAAATCAGCAACTACAGACCAGTATCACTCCTGTCAATCACTGGTAAGATCCTTGAGACAATAATCTCAAGACAAATGACAGAGTTTTTTGACTACCACTCACTACTTTGTGATCATCAATATGGCTTCAGGAAAGGTTACTCTGCTGCTGATCTGTTGTTAAACCTCTCCACTAAGTGGCACCAGTCACTGGATGAATCCAAAGTCAGCTGTGTGGTAGCACTGGACATTGCTGGCGCTTTCGACCGGGTGTGGTACCAGGGCCTCTTAGCAAAACTTCAAGCACTGGGAATTGCAGGCTCTATGTTATGTCTCCTCAGTGATTACCTTCATGGTAGATTTCTAAGTACATGTATAGTTCTCAATGGAATGGAATCAGCAAGACATCCTATTGGGGCAAGTGTTCCACAAGGAAGCGTACTGGGACCATTGTTATGGAATGTCTACTTCAACGACCTTCTTCATCTCATCCCAGAATCACATGCATATGCAGATGACTGTACACTGACATTCACTTATCCAAGAGAAGAAATGCCAGCTGCTCTAAGCTACATTAATCACCAGCTGAGAGCTATATCAGCTTGGGGAAATAGATGGCAGGTAAGGTAACATTTGCACCTGAGAAAACGCAAATGATGATCATCTCTAGGCACCATGATGGTAATGCTGGTGCAGTAGTAAGGATGAATGGGAGGGTGTTGGCACCTGGAGAAAAAGTTGATATCCTTGGGGTGAAATTTGACTCCAAACTAACCATGAAGAACCATGTTGTAAATCTTGCAAACAAGGCAGCCAGGAAGCTTACAGCACTTTGCCGTATCTCGCATCTGCTTGACAGTAGGGGTTGCAAGATCCTGTACGAGGCACAAGTACGCTCACACCTTGAGTATGCTCCACTTTCTTGGTTTGCCTGCCCCCCCTCTCATCTGCGACTGCTTGACAGAGTAGAGAACAGAGCAAGACGTCTCATCTCTCGCCTGGACCCATCCTGGATAGATCTGTCATTTCAGCAGAGCCTTCAACATAGGAGGATGTGGGTGGCCTTACTGTTATGTAACAAGGCCAATATTGTCAAAATACCACACTTGGATCCACTTCGAGGACAGCATGAAACAAGCTTTTATGCCACAAGATGGGCAGAAAGCAGCAACTTCACTCTGGCTGTACCCTTCTCCAAAACATCACTCCATCTGAGATCATACATACCCAGGATGACTCGAGTATGGAACACATTCGTACAGCATAATGATGTCAACGAGATAAAGTCAGTTGATCAAATGAAAATACTGGCCCACAGATGGCTCCAACTTCATCCTGTTCCCTATTTGTATGTCTCATAACAATAAAAATGCTTTCAAATGAGCTGATGTAGGTAACAGCTCTTAGATTGCCAATAAAGTTAGGAATCCTTAACCTGTAAATAGCTTGTGAATAAAGCTAGGGATCCTTAACCTTGTCAAACCCTGTGTAAAAAAAGAGAGAGAGCAAGAGAGAGAGAGCAAGAGAGAGCAAGAGATAGAGAGCAAGAGAGAGAGAGCAAGAGAGAGAGAGCAAGAGAGAGAGAGCAAGATAGCAAGAGAGAGAGAGAGCAAGAGAGAGAAGGGGAGCAAGAGAGAGAGAGAGCAAGAGAGAGAGCAAGAGAGAGAAAAGAGAAGAGAGAGCAATAGAGAGAGAGCAAGAGAGAGAGAGCAAGAGAGAGCAAGAGAAAGAGAGCAAGAGAGAGAGAGCAAAGAGAGCAAGAGAGAGAAGAGAGAGAGCAAAAGAGAGAGAGCAAGAGAGAGAGAGAGAGAAGAGAGAGAGAGCAAGAGAGAGAGAGCAGCAAAAGAGAAGAGAGAGAGAGAGCAAGAGAGAAAGAGAGCAAGAGAGAGAGCAAAAGAGAGAGAGCAAGAGAGAGAGAGCAAGAGAGAGAGAGAGCAAGTGAGAGAGGAGCAAGAGAAAAGAGAGCAAGAGAGAGAGAGCAAGAGAGAGAGAGCAAGAGAGAGAGAGAGAGAGGCAAAAGAGAGAGAGAGAGAGAGAGAGAGAGAAGAGAGAGAGAGAGAGAGAGAGAGAGAGAGAGAGAGAGAGAGAGAGAGTGGAGGGGAGGGAGAAAGTAGCAGTACTGGTAGCACATACCAACATGAAGAAGCGCCATCCCTTGACGTGAAGGTGCTGGGGTGAGTCAGTTTCCTGGTTATTCCTCTTGAGCTGCACATGCAAGATTACAGAGTGAGACACATGCTCAGGTAGCAGCAGCATGCAGCACTGCAGCAGCAGCAGCAGCATGCAGCACTGCAGCAGCAGCAGCAGCATGCAGCACTGCAGCAGCAGCAGCAGCAGCAGCAGCAGCAGCAGCAGCAGCAGCAATAGCAGCAGACATGCAGGGCAGCCAGTATGCTGGTGTTAACAACTCTCATGCTTAACCACTTATAATGAAACAATATTATGTGCTTACTGGAGAAAATTTACACACATGCACACACACATACACTATACTAATACACATTTGTTACTGAAGACATTGTAATAATTTTTATGTGTGATGAAAAAGAGGTTATATAAAAAACTGACAGGGACACAAACGGAGAAAACATACATCAACAAGGAGGTATAACAAGCTGGATAGAAGGTATATCTTGCTACTTTTGCTTACACATAGGTCACACTACACATGCATGTACAAGCATATATATATATACACATCCATCTGGGTTTTCTATCTTCTTAATAGTTCTTGTTCTTCTTTAATTTTTCTTATCTCCATTGGAAGTGGAAATGAATTCTTCCTCCATAGGCCATGCGTGTCGTATGAGGTGACTAAAATGGCGGGAGTAAGGGGTTAGTAACCCCTTGTCCTATATGAATTACTAAATTAAACCTGTAAACGGTCCAAGCAGATCTACGTTCATATGCGTAGTGCTCCAAAAGTAGATCTACGTTTTTTTTACATATTTTCAAATATAACAAAAAAAAAAAAAAAAGGGTAGATCAAAGTTATTTTACATGTTTTCAAATGTAAAAAAAAAAAAAGAAGATCTACTTTTTTACATACTTTCAAATGCTGAAAAAACGTATATATACGTTTGGACCGTTTACGGGTTAAAAAGAAAAAGTTTGGTTTTTCTTTTTAGGTCACCCTACCTTGGTGGGATATAGCCAGTTCGTTAAAAAAAAAAGAGGAACAAAGCAGACAGTTGACCTTACAGGCTGAGACTTCAGAATAGGAAGACATGAAACTAGGCACATCATCCTGTAAAAGTTGCTTTCTAACATTGAAAGAATCAAAGACAATGCTAGCAGAAACACCTTGCTCAGTGGCAGAGTACAACTCACTCAGTATATCCTGGAGTATATATGGAGAGAGTTAAGGGGGTCAACACCCCCGTGGCCCGGTCTGTGACCAGGCCTCATGGTGGATCAGGCTGTTACTGCTAGCTGCATGCCGTAAAATGCATGGCCCACAGCCCGGCTGGTCAAGTACTGACGTTCAGTGCCTGCTTCAAGACAGCCAGGGGTCTATTGGTAATCCCCCTTATGTATGCTGGGAGGCATTTGAACAGTCTTGGCCCCTCACACATACTGTGCTGCCTCTTATCGTGCTAGTGGCACCCCTGCTTTTCATTGGGGGGATGTTGCATCGTCTGCCGAGTCTTTTACTTTCATAGGGAGTGATTTTCATGTACAAGTTTGGTACTAATCCCTCTAAGATTTTCCTAGTGTATATAATCATGTATCTCTCCCATCTGCATTCTAGGGAGTACAGATTTAGGAACTTCAAGCATTCCCAGTAACTGAGGTGCTTTATCACAGTTATGCGTGCCGTGAAGGTTCTCTGTACATTTTCTAGGTCAGCAATTTCACCAGCCTTGAAAGGTGCTGTTAGGGTGCAGCAATATTCCAGCCTAGATAGAACAAGTGACCTGAAGAGTGTCATCATGGGCTTGGCATCCCTGGTTTTGAAGGTTCTCATTATCCATCCTGTCATTTTTCTAGCATATGCGTTTGATACAAAGTTATGGTTCTTGAAGGTGAGATCCTCTGACATGATCACTCCCAGGTCTTTGACATCAGTTTTTCGCTCTATTGTGTGGTTAGAATTTGTTTTATACTCCTATGAAATTTTAATTTTCTCATGTTTTCCATATCGGAGTAATTGAAATTTCTTATCACTGAACTTCATGTTGTTTTCTGCAGCCTATTTAAAGATTTGGTTGATGTTCACCTCGAGTCTTGCAGTGTCTTCAATGAAGGACACTGTCATGCAAATTCAGGTGTCATCTGCCAAGGAAGACATGGCACTGTGGCTTATATACCTGTCTATGTCTGATATAAGGATGAGGAACAAGATGGGAGTGAGTACTGTGCCTTGCGAAAGAGAACTTTTCACTGTAGCTGCCTCAGACTGTACTCTGTTGACTACTACTTTTGTGTTTTATTTGTTAGGAAATTATAGATCCATCTACCAACTTTTCCTGTTATTCCTTTATCACACATTTTGTGTGCTATTACATCATGGTCACACTTGTCAAAGGCTTTCGCAAAGTCTGTGTATATTACATCTGCATTCTGTTTGTCTTCTAGAGTATCCAGGACCCTTTCTCACACTCCAAACCTTTACCAAACCTTAACTTAAACCTTTACCTTGAATACAACTAAAGATGCCTTCAAGGACAGGAAGCCAGGAAACACAGATAGCACCTAAAAATACAAACGAGCCACGAGTACAGTTGGAAATACTTTCACAATATCACAGTGACAAGTGGAATGAACTATAGTAGTAAAGGAGGAGGTAATGGTGGCAAACAATACAGTTTCACAAGTAGGTATGATATAGCCCAGGTGGACAGAAATCAGTAAAACCAGTCAATAAGAGGCAGGGCCAGGACCTATAAATTGGTCCTTGCAAACACAGTTAGCTGAGTACACACACTAATGTGACTGGTACTTTTTTGTTATATGTGAACAGTATTCCATAAGAGAGAGAGAGCTCTATGTATCCTTAATCAAAAATGATGTAAAATTAATTAGAATTAAATCTTGAGAAGATTAGAAAAGTTTATGACCAGAACTAACTGTAGACTGCTCAGACAGATGCCTATTGGAATGCAACTCCACCAAATGTAATGTTGTGAAAAATGGCTAAGGAAATGGTAGATCAGAAATGAAGTACAGACTAGAGAAGAAAACAGAGGAAGTAGACCTTTCTCCTTACTGAAGAAGAAAGATCTAGGAGTAAACATAGTACTGTACCAAACATACTGCAAGAGGGGGCATATCAAATCAACAACTTTTTCAGAAAATGTGCAACATTGTTCATACCCCTATATAAGATACATATCTGGACAAACAAGGATTATGCAACAATAGCCTAGAACTTGCACCTTATCAGTAGTATCCAGAGGCAAGAGAAACTATAAAGGTTCACAACACGACTAGTCCCAGAGAGACTAAAAGAATCAAATCTCATCATATTAAAGTAGAGAAATACAAGTGGAAACCTGATAATGAAATATGAGATACTTCAAGGGTTTGATAGGTTGGACAGAGAAACATTAATTGGTAGCTGGAAAGGGTTTCGGGGGTCAACACCCCTGCGGCCCGGTCTGAGATCAGGCCTCGTGGTAGATCAGGGTCTGATCAACCAGGCTGTTACTGCTGGCTGTACACAAACTGACATATGAACCACAGCCCAGCTGGTAATAGAATTATTAGGGATAAGGGTTTGAAAGGTTGGACAGAGAAATACTAATTGGGAGCTAGAGTATACCTGGAGAGGGTTTCGGGGGTCAACACCCCTGCAGCCCGCTCTGAGATCAGGCCTAGTGGTGGATCAGGGTCTGATCAACCAGGCTGTTACTGCTGGCTGTACGCAAACTGATGTACAAACCACAGCCCGGCTGGTAATAGGATTATTAAGGACACATTAAAGGGAATACTTCTTCAGGCTCAGGGTGGTTTGGAAGTAGAGTAGATACATACATACATGTAAACACACTCACACTAAGATTAATGGTCCTAAAAAATGGTGACTATGGTCAAGCTAATTATAATAATAATGATAATAATAATAATAATAATAATAAATAAATATAAAATTGATCCCAAAAGTTAACTATAACACCTTAAGATAACAAGTGATATATATTGCACCAACAGTGGAGCCAATCACATCTGATGGATTAAGTGAAAATCCTCACTGCGATACTGACATCTCATTATGGAGCAGTGGTAACGTGAAGGACTACCACCTTACTAACCCAGTTACAGTGGTAAGGTGAAGGACTTCTACCTTACTAACCGTACAGTGGTAAAGAAGGACTATCACCTTACTAACCCAGTTTCAGTGGTAAGATGAAGGACTACCACCTTACTAACCCAGTTACAGTGGTAAGGTGAAGGACTACCACCTTACTAACCCAGTTACAGTGGTAAGATGAAGGACTATCACCTTACTAACTCAGTTACAGTGGTAAGATGAAGGACTATCACCTTACTAACCCAGTTACAGTGCTAAGGTGAAGGACTATCACCTTACTAATTCAGTTACAGTGGAAAGGTGAAGGACTACCACCTTACTAACCTAGTTAGTGGTAAGGTGAAGGAATTTCACCTTACTAACCCAGGTTCAATCCTATACGATGCCTTGTTTACATTAACTGCTACACTCAAAACATGTGTAAAATATCAGTTTGTGGCAATGCATTACTGCATATCGCGAGTCAAGAACACTCGACAGCAAGAACGTAACATAAATTCTTTTAACCAATATCTTCGTACACTGTGGAACAATAAAATCTGCAAAAGGCAATATTAGGGTCGATTAATAGCTACACTAACCACAAGGCCTGGTCACGGACCGAGCTGTGGGGGCACTGAACCCCCCCCAAACTCCCTCCACGTATACTTCAGGTAACCTGAGTACACTAAGAGCTACATCAAGGATAAACAATGAGCTACACCATGCAGTGTACACTAAGAGCTACACCAGCCAGGATATACATTAAGAATACACTAAAAGCTGTACAACCATTGTACAACAAGAGTTACATAACTCAATTTATACTAATAGTTACAGACAGCAGGGTGCACTAAGCACTACACCAGCCAATGTTCTGTTAAGTTACACAAGCAAGGGAACAAAGAGGTACACAAGCCAGGGTACACTAAAAGCAACACCAGCCAGCATACACTATGAGATGCACAAGTCAGAGTAGTACACTAAAGGCTACACAATCCAGGGCAGTACACTATGAGTTACATGAGTAGGGTACAATAAGTTACACCAGCCAATGTTCATTAAGAACTAAGTAGTCAAGTTACACTAGGTTTACACAGCCAGAGTGCATTTAGAACTGCACCAGTGAGGATATATAGAAGTGTATACCTTCCAGCTCCTCCAGGAGGTAGCGATAGTAATTTGGGCAGCCTTCATGAGACGGTAGTTCTTAAGTTGGTGCCAGCCACGGTACGTCTTCTGTACCAGTACTGCCAAGTCTTCGAGACGTTCACGACGGTACTCTTCCAGTTCATGTACCTGTTACAGTACACCTGCCTTTAGTGGTGGTGGTAAGTTTAGCAATATTAGAATGGTAATGGTGGTGGTGTTAGTCTAATGTCAGTGGTATTAGTCTAGTGGCAATAATGATGCTGGGATTAATTTAGTTCAATCTGAGAGAATGAAAGCTGAGGATGTAGTTGTGATGTTAATAAATAATTATTGAAAGAAAAAGTATTAAGATTTACGGTTTAGAAAGACGTGACAAACACTACGACATATTTATAAGAAAATGTTTCTGTCCTGGGACCTTGATTGGTATCTAATACCAAGGTTAAAACCATTAAGATTTATACACCTCCACATGCTCTCCATATTCTCTACCTTCCTTACATCATTTTTTTATATTGTACAAACCTTATCATTTTTTAAATCTGTTCATTCTACTAATAATTTTTTTTTATTCCTACAACAACAAACCTCTGATATGAACTCACTGTATTCTTAAATCCACATCTTACCATCTTGATCCCCTGAATACCCTCTCTAATGTTAGCCCATGCTCCTTCCAATAGGTGCTCCTGCCTTATGTTAAACATTCAGTCAGGCAGCTTAACAAAACAATGAAGAAATTATGGATAAAAGCACCAAATTATCTGGAGCAATTTATGATACTTAATTGTTACACTTGATAATACAGGACATTATCATGTAAATGGACAAATTAATCACCCATGTTTATAAACTAACTTTTTTTTATAGAGTACATCTACATAACTTTAGAAAGTTCCCAAGATACTTCATTACACTTGTCATAAGTAGGACAGTTAAATAGTACGTATAAGAAAGCCATGACACCATAAACAACATGCTTGCTCATTGTGCTACAACAGTGAAATCTGGTTGTTGGACCAACATGTGCATGTAGATCACACTCCAGTGTTTGTTGGAGATATTTACAGCAGCACCAAAATTCTGTGAATTTCAACTGAGCCTTCTTGTATGTACACCACACCTCCCATCACATCCTTTTGTGCTCTTGCAGCCACACTTAATCAGGTCAGTGCATGCTTCTGATGTCATGGGAAGAGTGGTCCAGCCTCATTCTTCTGGAGAATGCATTTCTTGCAGGGTCATGCCACTTGTCGTCCAGATCCTAGCCTAGTGGACAGTTTGCTAGGAGTGCTCAAACAATGCATATTGTGTAGGCTGAATTTTTTCCACTGATTTTCTTCTTTGCCACAGCATCTCTTTCTGTGCCTTGTTGACAAAGCCCTGGTTGCTGGTCTTGTGATAGAGTATAACAGCTTAGCAGTGAAAGTTTAAAGATGTTTTATCCACATCAAGGTCACAGTGAGTATTAACTGCAATGTAAGGGTAGAACTTCCATGCAGATTTCTTACCCTTTCCAAAGAGAGAAGATACAATATCACAGCTTGTGAAGCTTTGGCATATGGATTAGCCCCTGCGCTTGTTCTTCTCTTAGTCCAAGAGAGATGGCATCGACATATGGATGCGTGAAACAGTTTTTAGTACTAAAGGCCATCCATAAGTTGGCAGTTAGACACACCATCAACAGATGACAGAACTTTCCAACCAGGATCAGGGCAATGTTAGTAACCATTGTCCAAATCAAACTGGTTGTCAAGCCACACACCACTCTATCTTGCAGGCGAATCAGGATTCTGGTATCTGTTTCTTTGTAACTGCATAGGGTCATGCTCTCACTCTCACTGTAAACCACACCCTAACCTGAGCTGATAACAATATCCTGTACAGGAAAAAGTCTGTGCTTACAATATTGCTGGAGAGGAATCAAAAGCACCTGCTTGTTGTGTAGATCCTGGAAGATCTGCCACAAAATAGGAAATCAGTGTTCCTGGTGAGCTGTAATGAACAATTTCCAAGCTGAGGATGGTCTCACAATAGTGGTAGGTAAACTTCGTCAGTGTTGGACTGCCCAGTGGACTTAAAAGCTTCATACTAAAGTTTGGCCAATGCCAAAACATATTATATCAGTATTCTGCATGCTGTGCCAAAATAATTTTGACTAAAGTTGTAGTGTCCAGGCTTAGGGTTGGTTACAAGTACTTCTGGCAGTTTGGGAGACACAGATGATGATCAAACTAAACGCAAATTATGTGATCAGGCATATGGTCACTGTCTTGAACACTATGTGCTTAATTGTCCACTTACTGAGGAGTACAGAGATAGACGGTATAATAACCTATGTGACATGTCAAGATATATTATTAATGAAAATAAGATACCAGATATACTAAGCAAATTTCCTAAATTTGCTTGTAACAGATAAGTGAACTGTAGATATGTAGATATAAATCCATATGTACACCTGTTAACCCTTTTGGGGCCTAGTTCCTAGGCCTTTTGTGTATCCATATGCTCTAGTGCTACCGTCCACAGGATGGATATGGGGTGCACAATAAACTAGCCACTTCGGCGACAAAATCTAAAAAAATTAAATCTTTTACTCTAATTATAGTTATAAGAAAGGTATAAGGAACTCACAGCTCGCTGGCTCTTAATGAAGACTTTGGTTCTGCCAAAGGTGTATTGAGAGGGAGTGATTGGCAGGTCGGCCAAGAGTATGGCACACCCCTCCAATGGCTGGCCTCGCCAAGTGGGCCATGTGTGTAATGATAACATGCCATAGCGTGCCAGAAAGGCATCATGTGTCGCCCGGTATGACCACCCATCACAGCGTACTCGTGCTTGTTCCACCAGCCTGTTAGAGAAGGCTAAGTATCAGGAGACTGACTGTTGTTGGAGCATGATATATGGATAATATAAGTGCTGGGACAGGTAGTGAGGCTGAGGCTGGTGAAGGGTGTAAAGCAGGGGGGAAGGGGCTAAGAAGTAAATGATAAACTTCATTTCTACAAAGCATAATTTACAATTTGCTCAGGAATAGGTGACAATTACAAAAAAAGGCACAATACCATGACTGGAACGATGCAAAAATAACCTGCAAATAGAAGAGAAGCTTACAACATTTCGATCCAACTTGGACCATTTACAAAGTCACACCTCCTCCTGCCTATATATACTCCCTCCTTTCCTCCTTTTTGTTAGCGTAACTTGTAAATGGTCCAAGTTGGACCGAAATGTCGTTGTAAGCTCCTCTCTCCTATTTGTGGGTTATTTGTGTATAGGTGACAATGAAGCACTTTATAAAAAAGCTCCTGATTATGTAAATCATTTCAGGCAGCCTTAAAATAAACTTATATTTACAGTAATAATAATAATTATAATTATAATAATAATAATGTAGGTAGGTTGGTAGACAGCAACCGCCCAGGGAGGTACTATCGTCCTGCCAAGTGAGTGTAAAACGAAAGCCTGTAATTGTTTTACATGATGGTAGGATTGCTGGTGTCCTTTTCTGTCTCATAAACATGCAAGGTTTCAGGTACGTCTTGCTACTTCTACTTACACTTAGGTCACACTACACATACATGTACAAGCATATATATACACACCCCTCTGGCTTTTCTTCTATTTTCTTTCTAGTTCTTGTTCTTGTTAATTTCCTCTTATCTCTATGGGGAAGTGGAATAGAATTCTTCCTCCGTAAGCCATGCGTGTTGTAAGAGGCAACTAAAATGCCGGGAGCAAGGGGATAGTAACCCCTTCTCCTGTATATAGAGTAAGGCCCCGCTTTACGGCGTTTTGCCTTACGGTGTTCCGCTAATACGGCAATGTCAAATTATGACCAAAATTTGCTATACGGCAAGCGGTCTTTTAAATACGGCGCCCCCCACCCGGTTTGTTTACATTTTCCGTGACCACAATTATTGTCAGGAAACTTTCCAAAATTTCAAGTGTTTTAAAGTTACTGCATATTTTATATGTACTCTGATAATTATACTTATGTGTACCTGTACCTAAATATACTTACACACTGTGCTGGTGTGCAGGTACACATTAAAATCGCTAAGTCTCTACTCATGATGCCAATACTAGGTAATAATAATCACTCTTGGGCATACTAAATGTCTTATTTTACATCAATATAGGCATTTTCATTAATCCATCTATGATATTTTCCTCAAAATTATATATGAAACCCATTACATAGCATATAAACATGATACATACACTCAGAATAAAAATTGATGTAAATATGAGATTTGTTTACAAAGCAGCTGTGTAGGTAGTGTTGGAAGAATTACATTTTCTCTAGTCAAACTGGGGGATAACTGAAGAAAAATATTGTTTTTGTATGCCTTTACTCTATGTATAGCAATTCACGACCCTTGTGGGTTTAGTGCTTTTTATAAAAAATAATAATAATAATAATAATAATAATAATAATAATAATAATAATAATAATAATAATAATAATAATAATAATAATAATAATAATAATAATAATAATAATAATAATAATTATTATTATTATTATTAATATTATTATTATTATTAATATTATTAATAATAATAATAATAATAATATTATTATTATTATTAATAATATTATTATCTTCATTCACTCTAAAAATGGTGTGTTGCTGTTTGTTTATTCTGAACTAACTTGTACAACTTGTACACAATGTAAGAGTATTTGTACTGTGAGGTAATTATTATTAAAATAAAAAAATATTGAGGTAAATGTTTCACAAACTCTTACAAATGGACGTGAATGAACTAAAAGTAGACACATATTAATATGCATTTATTTCGCCTGACCAAGTGATCGTCCACTGCCTGTTCAGTTTGTGTTCTTACATTGTCTCAACTCTGTATCTCGTTCTCTCTCTCGTTTACTCTTTTGTTAACTAGCTGGCTCTCACTGACGATGGCGTCTAAGGTTAGCTGTAATAAAAAGAGAAGTCGTAAGCCTCTTGCTTTAAGTGCCAAGTTAGAGGATGATGGTGTGCCATTTTGATTTTATTCAATAAACACCTTGCCACTCACCTCTCACACATTAATACAGTGGATCCCCGCATAACGATCACCTCCGAATGCGACCAATTATGTAAGTGTACATATTTATGTAAGTGCGTTTGTACGTGTATGTTTGGGGGTCTGAAATGGACTAATCTACTTCACAATATTCCTTATGGGAACAAATTCGGTCAGTACTGGCACCTGAACATACTTCTGGAGTGAAAAAATATCGTTAACTGGGGGTCCACTGTATTAATATTTTAAGGTAAGTAATAAGTGTACTCTGTGTGTATCTTACCTTTTATTGTGTTTTAATGCCTATTTCTATTGCTAACTTAATATAAGTTAGTGTAAACTTGTTGTCTGGCATTTACTGCATATTTTATATGCTCTGATAATAATACTTGTGGAGCCGGGTGGAGGGACAACATTACGTTTTCTCTGTTCAGCCATCAGAGAAAACGTGTATGAATCTACGTTTGGCCCAGCCACTCCCCCACTCCGCTTTTGTTTACAATTTTTGGCATGAATTATTCATTACTTCTACCTTCGTTTATGATGGCATCTAAAGGTAGTTCTTAGAAATTATTAAATTCAGTGAACAAGGCATGTCGATGTTAATAATATGGCTCTGGGCCACAGTGTAGGTAGCCAGTAGGTGTAGCCCAGGCTACACCTACCGGCTACCTACACTGACTTTATACAAATAAATACTACTCACCTCTCTTCCTATATTAACCCTTAAACGGTCCAAACAAATCGACGTTCAAATTCGTAGTGCTACAAAAGTAGATCTACTTTTTTTAACATATTTTCAAATGTAACAAAAAAAAAGTAGATAAAACTTTTTTTTACACATTTTCAAATGTAAAACAAAAAAGAAGATCTACATTTTTTTACATACTTTCAGATGTTGAAAAAACGTATATATACATTTGGACCATTTAAGGGTTAAGACTACACATGTTTTAAGGTAAATAATGAGTGTACTGTATGAGTATTTTACCTCTCTGGGATGTTTTAAATATCGTATATTAAGTATGAGACGGGGAGTCAGTGCTACCTACACCTGGGCTACCTGCACCTGACTTCCTACAAATAAGTACATATCACCTCTCTCCCTACATTAAGATTACAAATACAGTGGACCCACGCATACCGTTGGCATTACATAACGTTAAATCCGCATACCGATACATTTTATCGCTAAGATTTTGCCTTGCATACCGCTAAAAAACCCGCTCAACGCTGTTCGTCCGAGACGCGTCTAATGTGCGGTCTGAGCCAGCCTCACATGTTCTGCCGGTGGCATTGTTTACCAGCCAGCCTCCGCGGTAACATCCAAGCATACAATCGGAACATTTCGTATTATTACAGTGTTTTTGGTGATTTTATCTGCAAAATAAGTGACCATGGGCCCCAAGAAAGCTTCTAGTGCCAACCCTACAGCAATAAGGGTGAGAATTCTATAGAGATGAAGAAAGAGATCATTGCTAAGTATGAAAGTGGAGTGCGTGTCTCCGAGCTGGCCAGGTTGTATAATAAACCCCAATCAACCATCACTACTATTGTGGGCAACAAACGGGAATCAAGGAAGCTGTTCTTGCCCAAAAGGTCAACTGTGTTTTCGAAACAGAGATCGCAAGTGATGGAAGATGTTAAAACCTTTTGGTGTGGATAAATGAAAAACAGCTAGCAGGGGATAGCGTCTCTCAAGCGATCATAAGCGAAAAGGCTAGGAAGTTGCATGAGGATTTAATTAAAAAAATGCCTGCAACTAGGATGATGTGAGAATTTAAGGCCAGCAAAGGTTGGGTTTTAGAGATTTAAAAAGCGTAGTGGCATACATAGTGTGATAAGGCATGGTGAGGCTGCCAGTTCGGACCACAAAGCAGCTGAAAAATATGTGCAGGAATTCAAGGAGTACATAGACATTTAAGGACTGAAACCTGAACAAGTGTTTAATTGTGATGAAACAGGGCCCGTTTTTGGAAGAAAATGCCAAGCAGGAAACCTACATTACTCAGGGGGAAAAGGCAAATCCCAGGACATAAGCCTATGAAAGACAGGGTTACTCTGTTGATGTGTTCCAATGCTAGTGGTGATTGCAAAGTGAAGCCTTTATTAGTGTAATCACTCAAACTCCCAGAGCGTTCAGGCAAAAAGAATATCCTCAAGGCTAATTTGTGTGGCTGTGGAGGGCAAACAGTAAGGCATGGGTCACTAGGGACTTTTTCTATGACTGGTTACACCATGCATTTGCCCCCAATGTGAAAGATTACCTAACTGAAAAGAAATTAAACCTTAAGTGCCTCCTAGTGTTAGACAATGTCCCTGGTCATCCTACAGACGTGGCAGAGCGACTTTATGGGGACATGAGCTTCATTAAGGTGAAGTTTTTGCCTCCTAATACCACTCCTCTCCTGCAGCCCATGGACCAGCAGGTTATTGCAAACTTCAAAAAACTGTATACAAAAGCTCTGTTTGAAAGGTGCTTTGTAGTGACCTCAGAAACTCAATTGACTCTAAGAGAGTTTTGGAGAGATCACTTTAATATCCTCAATTGTGTAAACCTTATAGGTAAGGCTTGGGAGGGAGTGACTAAGAGGACCTTGAACTCTGCTTGGAAGAAACTGTGCCAGAATGTGTAGACCAAAGGGATTTTGAAGGGTTTCAGGCTAACCTGAGAGGAGTATGCCAGTTGAGGAATCCATTGTGGTATTGGGAAAGTCCTTGGGGTTGGAGGTTAGTGGGGAGATGTGGAAGAGTTGGTGGAGGAGGACAATGAAGAACTAACCACTGATGAGCTGCTAGATCAACTTCAACAGAAGAGCCAGACCTGAGGAAACTGGTTCGGAGGAGAGGAGAGAGAAATTGAAGAAGTTGCCTACTTTAAAGATTAAGGAAATGTGTGGAATGTGGCTTAAAGTGCAAACCTTTTTGATGACAATCACCCTAACACAGCTATTGCAAGCCGTGCTGGTGACTATTACACTGACACTGTTGTGAAACACTTTAGGGAAGTCATAAAGGAACGAGAGGTACAGGCCACTATGGACAGATATGTTGTGTGACAGAAGTCCAGTGACTCTGAAGCTGGTCCTAGTGGCATTAAAAGAAGAAGGGAAGTAACCCCAGAAAAGGACTTGACACCTCAAGTCTTAATGGAAGGGGATTCCCCTTCTAAACACTAAGACTCTCTCCTCCTCCCATCCCATCAATCATCACCAGATCTTCAATAAAGGTAAGTGACATGTAACTGTGCATGCCTTTTTCAATTTGTGTGTATTAAAATTAATATTTCATGTGGTAAAAATTTTTTTTTTCATACTTTGGGGTGTCTTGAACGGATTAATTTGATTTCCATTATTTCTTATGGGGAAAATTCATTCGCATAACGATAATTTCGCATAACAATGAGCTCTCAGGAACGGATTAATATCGTTATGCGGGGGTCCACTGTACTTTAAGATAAGTAATGAATTTACTGTGACTGTATTTTACTTTGTGTGTTTTTAATGCCTAGTTCTATTACTAACTTAATATAATTTAGTGTAAACTTGTCTGGCATTTATATGCATTTATAAATGGAAAAAAATGGAGTTCTGCCTTTCGGCGATGTCTGCTTTCCGGCGACAGCCTGGGACCTAACCCGCCGTATAAGTGGGGCCCTACTGTATTACTAAATTTGAAAGGAGAAACTTTCGTTTTTCCTTTTGGGCCACCCCACCTCGGTGGGATACGGCTGGTACGTTGAAAGAAGAAAGAAAAAAACATGCAAGATTTAAGGTACGTCTTACTACTTCTTACATTTAGGTCACACTACACATACATGTACAAGCATATATACACACACCCATCTGGGTTTTCTTCTATTTTCTTTCTAGTTCTTGTTCCTGTTGATTTCCTTTTATCTCCATGGGGAAGTGGAACAGAATTCTTCCTCCGTAAGCCATGCGTGTTGTAAGAGGTGACTAAAATGCCGGGAGCAAGAGGCTAGTAACCTCTTTTCCTGTATATATTACTAAATGTAAAAGGAGAAACTTTCATTTTTCCTTTTGGGCCACCCCGCCTCGGTGGGATACGGACGATGTGTTGAAAGAGAAGAGACATAGTTGTACAAGGAATTATAGTACTACTTATACTTATTAATTAATAAATCTCTTACTGGAATTTTTTGCCAAATAATTTGTTGTAAGTTTTAGTAAGACAATTTATATTTGTAGCAGGTATTACAAATGTTGGCCAAATAAAAGTGCAAATACACGTACTAATCCTTTGACTGTTTCGGTCGTATATATACGTCTTACGAGCCAATGTGTTTGACGTATATATACTCAAAAATTCTAGCGGCTTCAAATCAAGCAGGAGAAAGCTGGTAGACCCACATGTGAGAGAATGGGTCTGTGTGGTCAGTATGCACCATATAAAAAAAGTCCTGCAGCACGTAGTGCATAATGAGAAAAAAAACTCCAATTGTGTTTTTGGATGTAAACGCCAACTTTGTGGTGTATTTTCATACAGTATTTATGGTTATATTCTAATTTTCTTGGTCTCAGTTGATAGAATGGAAGACATATTATAGAAATAGAGGTGATTTTGATTGGTTTTACTATGAAATGGAGCTCAAATTAGGGGAAATGTTTGATTTTTGCTGATGTTCAAAAGTAAACAAATGATGTCATTGTCCAATAAATGTCCAACTAGCCATTCTAATATGCAGTCATGAATGGGTTGACATTATTTATACAATTATTACAATATTGCAGTAGTCTGCATAACAGTAAATCTTCTATTTTTTGTTTGAATAAAAATTCAAAATAGAAAGCAAGAGTAATATAGAAGGGGACTGGAGACATGACTGATGAACAAAGAAAATGTTATTTTAGAGCCAGGAATGTCTGCATTGTTCATTCTGGACCCTATTTTGAAATTGGCATATATTTTAATTTGCGTGAAATTGGCCAAATTGCAAATTTCTGACCATGTTATTGGGTAGTTGAAATCGGTAAATGGGCAGTTTCTTGTACTCAGTCAATAGAACAAAGGAAGTTCTAAAGAAATAGCTATGAGTTTGGTCAACTGAAAAAATGGAATCAGCCGAAAATAGGGCTCAAAGTGAGCGAAATCGCCGATTTGTAAATATCGCCGAGGTCGCTAACTTCACAAGAGCATAATTCCATAACTTTTCCATCAAATTTCGTTCTTTTGGTGTCATTACCATCAAGAAAAGATTCTCTATCATTTCATAAGAAAAAAATAATTTTTGTTTTTTTTTTCAAAAATTTTTTGACACCAGGAGACACCTCAGGATTTGAGGTTGTGACAGTCAAAGGGTTAATCAATATTTCAGTATTACTGCACAGTACATAATGAACTGAAGACCCATAAAACACATTAGGACACAATTAGACACACCAAAAAAAAAACAATAGGACACACTAGAATCAACAGTAAAATATACAGTAAGACACTCACCCGAGGTACTTGATCTGGTGTAAGACTAGAGCTGTCTCCAAGATTCTGTGCTGCTTGAGTTCATTGGGCTTGATACAAGCTATGAGGTGAGACGTCTTAGACCGTAAAGTCCTCATCAGTGCACCTACAGAGATCAACACCTGAGAGGAGACGCTGGCGGCTCTCTTCAAGGTGGTCCGTCTTGGGTTACCTGTAAAACAACATAAATAATTATTACTATAATTACATTTGTAACCCCTCCTTCTGTATAAATTACTAAATTTAAAAAGAAAAGCTTTCGTAGGAAAGTGTTCAACTCATGGGGGCCATATAATGATTGGGAAATAGGATGTACAGTGGTCCCTCAATAATCGTCCAGCCTGAAAGTTGTCCATTTTGGAAATAGTCCTGTTTTTTCGTCAAAATACTGGCTCGCAAATGGTCCAGTAACTCGCTAATAGTCTTTCGTCCCGGACGCGTACTCACGCTCTGAGCCGCCTCGGCCTTTCCTTCCCAGCCAGTGTGCCATTGTTTACCAGTGAGCGACGGTCCCCTCACGTGCTCCAGCGAAATATTTCATAATACTGTATTCCATTTATTTTAGCGCTTACAAGTTATTTAAGCGCTAAATAGCTACCATGGCTCCAAAGAAAGCTCCTAGTGCCAAGCCTTTGGTAAAGAAGGTGAGAAATACAATTGAATTTAAGAAAAACATCACTGAACAATATGATAGTGGCGTACGTGTGGGCAAACTGGCCAGGATGAATAACAAATCCCGTACAACCATATCTTCCATCATAGCCAAGAAAAAGGAAATCAAGGATGCTGTTGTTGCAAGGATGCTGACAAAAATGAGATCATCAGTACTTGAAGATGTTGAGAAGTTATTATTGGTGTGGATAAATGAGAAACAATTAGCAGGAGATAGTCTTATGACGTTGCTTATTTGTGAAAAGGCTAGGCAGTTGCATGACAATTTGGTAAAGAAATTGCCTGCAACTAGTGGTGATGTGAGTGAATTTAAGGCCAGCAAAGGCTGGTTTGAGAGATTTAAAAAGCGTTCTGGCATACAACGAAGAGCTCACCACTGAGGAGCTGCAAGAGCTTCAGCAGGAAGAGCAACAGATCGCAGCTCAGAATCTTGCTGCAGAGGAGGAGGAAAAGAGATGGAAGAAGGTGCCTTCTTCAGAAATTAAGGAGATCTTTGAAATGTGGGGTAGGATGGAAAGATTTATGGAGAAACATCACCCAGAGAAGGATGTTGCAAGCCATATCAGCAACTTGTACAGTGACAGAGTCTTGGCCCATTTTAGGGAAGTTTTAAAGAGACGCCAGAAACAGAGCTCTCTGGACAGTTTTTTTGCGAGACAGGACTCCAGTGACTCTCAAGGTGGTCCTAGTGGCATTGAGAAACAGAGAAGAGAAGTAACCCCAGAAAAGCAATTGGTACCCGAGGTGTTGATGGAAGGGGATTCTCCTTCCAAACAGTAAATCATCCAATCTGTCTCCTTCTCCAGTCTTCCATACACAAAGAAGAATCGTCAATAAAGGTAAGTGTTATTCTGTTAATGTTTAATTCACCATGTGCCAGTGTATTGTTTATGTACTACATCTATATTTCATGTAAAAAAAATTTTTGTTTTAATACTTCTGGGTGTCAGGAACGGATTAACTGAATTTACATTATTTCTTATGGGGAAAATTGATTCGTAAATCGTCCATTTCGATAATAGTCCCACTTCCAGGAACGGATTATGGACGATTATTGAGGGACCACTGTATTCAGGGTCAGCTCAAGGAAAAGGAGAGTAGTGAAAATTAATAGGATCAAGAACCCTACACTGTCATTAAAACACTCCCTTTAATGGACAACAACAAGATGAAGGTAATAAGGCATTAATGGAGGGAGAGAGATAATCTGAGGCAGTTAATCAGTGGTGGTAATGATTTTAATGAAGGGAGTGTGTGGATGAGAGAAGTGTCAGTATGTAAGAGTATGTGGGTGAGAAGTGTGTCAATATATGGGAGTGTGTGGACGAGAGGAGTGTCAGTATGTGGGAGTGTGTGGGCGAGAGGATTAATGTTGGTATGTGGGTGGGTGTGTGGGTGGTGTGTGGGTAGGAGAAGTGTTAGTATGGGGGAGTGTGTGAGTGTCAATATGTGCATGAGAGGAGTGTCAGTTTATGGGAGTGTGTGGGTGAGAGGAGTATTAGTATATGGGAGTGTGTGGATGAGAGGTGTATCAGTATGTGGGTGACAGCAGTAAGTGCTTCCTATTTAAGGGTAACAGTAGAAGAAATACAGTTATTAGGGATGGGTGTGAGAGCAGAACTCACCCTCGGGAAAGAGTTCCTTTAGGATACGATGCTTACAACGGTACATGGCTCTCGTCAAGTCCCTGTGCAGGGCATCACAGTTCTTCTCAATAAACCCGTAGACGCTATAAGTGACAGAGCCAGCATAGTGCCGAATTCTGTAAAGTATAGAAGTGTTGTTCATTTGTATAGCTAATATTGTAAAAGAAGGTAAAAAGCCTTACAACAATGAAGGTAAGACACCTTGAACAAATTCTGACCCTATAATTACAAATAAACAATCACACAATCCTCCACTCAAGGCAAACACAGACACCAAAAAGTTCTTGGTGCAATTCATGGGTCCAGTGAAACATATGGGTTAGTATCTTTGCACCCCTGATGTCCCTGTTCACCTAACAGTAAAACCTGGAAAAGGGTTTTAGCTGTTGGGAAAAAGAATGCTATGTAACATGCATGGCAATAGTGTGCAAAATTTTTGCTGAAACTTTAATTCTTCTTAAAGTATTCAAGTGTTGGTTAAATGTATCTGCAAGATGCTGTATATTTTATAATGATAAATAAAGCAAAAAGAAAGCCATGTAAGTAGTTACTGACCTGAAGGAGTCGGTGGGGATATTATTGTCTGAGTGAGCGTGGCGGGCACCTTTGATGTCAAAGAGAGAATGTCCACCACAGGAGAAGGAGAGTTGTTGCATAAGTGCATCTGTACCTCCACCTACACGGCTGCTCACCTCCTCAATCACAGCCAGCACCCCTGTCTGTCTCTGTGACAACACACAAACTGCAGTCAAATATCTCTTCTTAAATACCAGGTTTTTGTCTACTAAGAGACTTCACAAACAACAAACTTGATCATGAGGATAATAGGAATGAGTAATTGAATCATGAATTGTGTACCATTTTTTTTTTTAACACGTTAGCCGTTTCCCACCGAGGCAGGAGTAACCCAAAAAGAAAGAAAAACCAAAAAAAGAAAGAAAAAACTTTCATCATTCAACACTTTCACCATCACTCATACATAATCACTGTTTTTGCAGTGGTGCTCAGATACGACAGTTTATACATCCCTCCAAACTGCCAATATCCTAAACCCCTCCTTTAAAGTGCAGGCATTGTACTTCCCATTTCAAGGAGTCAAGTACGACTAACCAGTTTCCCTGAATCCCTTCACAAAATATTACCCTGCTCACACTCCAACAGCTCATCAGGTCCCAAAAACCATTTGTCTCCATTCACTCCTATCTAACACTCTCATGCACACTTGGTGGAAGTCAAAGCCCCTCAACCACAAAACTTCCTTTACCCCTTCCCTCCATCCTTTTCGGGGATGACCCCTACCCCGCCTTCCTTCCCCAGAAAATTTATACGCTCTCCAAGTTTACCTGGAGTTTACCTGGAGAGAGTCATTCTACTTTGTTCCATTCTCTCTAAATAACCAAACTATCTCAAACAGCCCCTCTTCAGCCCTCTGACTAATACTTTAAGTAACTCCACACCTCCTCCTAGTTTCCACATTATGAATTCTCTGCATAATATTTACACCACACATTGCCCTTAGACACAACATCTCCACTGCCTTCAGGGGAGATGTGGTCAGAATTTTAACGACCTTTTTTTTATGGACCGATTACGTTCATTTTTGGTGTACTATTAGAAGGTTATATCGAGTATGCTGTGCTGAAGTTTCAATCATATCGGCCAAAAAGGAAATGAAATATGCAAAATTTACGAAAAATTGCATTTGGCAGGGCACAGTTTGTCAGTGGTACTTGGACAAGTGGTTTTGACACTTGCTGCTGCTAGAACAACTCTAATTCCAACACTTATCGATGAGAATTCTAAAATAAACCTTATCTTCTTGCTAAAAAAAAATAAAGTTTCATAACTTTTTTGATATATTGGAAGATGTCGGCCTTGTTGTCCACATAAATCTAAAAATATTTTGAATAGTTCGGAAACAGAATCGCTACCCCATAAAACAATCATTCTCCCATGTTTGTTGTGAGAAATAAAGTCAATTCAATCATAAATAAGGATGCAGTCCCCCTAAATAGGTAAATAAGTTACTTTCGAGATATAGGCCGCAGCGCACAGCACCCCCGCTGCCCGGGAACAATTTTTTTCCCCGAAAAATTCGCTTTATTTTACACTTTTTCCACGGCCTACGAGTGTTTATTACAGTTAATCATTGTAAATCCGTTTTCTCTCATCACTGATGAGAGAGGGCGGACCCTCTCTTCACCTTCAGGGGAAATATCGATAGAAATTTATTCCTTGGGGCGTCATATTATGCTATATATTTTTTTTTGAGGTGTACTTTTTATGTTTATATGCTATTATTATATTGCATTATATCATAATAGATCAATTATGATAGATAAATAAGCCTTATAATTGATATTAGCGTGGGTATGGAATATTTTGTTGGCTGGAGGTGTCGGCCATTTTGTGCACTATTCCCAGGGGTTCCCGATTGGTTCCTTGATCACATTAGCTCCACCCACTCTGGCATGATCTCAGATGGTGAATTTGTATTATATTAGACATAAAGATGTACGAAAACGATAAAAATAACACGGGGAAAAACGTAACAAAAACGTCAACACAGCTGAGTCAGCGCTTCTTACGCAACATGTTGCGTCAGCGCTGTCACCATGCCTGTTATAAATGGCTGTAATTCCTTTTAGAAACATCATACAAGGATAATAATTATACCAGCGTGTAGCCAGAAAGTTCAGCTATTTTTTGGTAACAATAACTCAGTTTTCATATATTTTCGAATTTTTTTTTGCTCCGCGCGCGGGAAACCTCAATCGCCCCTTCAGCTGCCTCCTCGCTGCAGCATTTACAACCCAAGCTTCACACCCATATAAGTGTTGGTACCACTATACTCTCATACATTCCCTTATTTGCCTCCATGGATAACATTCTTTGACTCCACAGATACCTTAACACACCACTCACCTCTTTTCCTTCATCAATTCTATGGTTTACCTCATCCTTCATAAACCCATCTTCATAAACCCATACTCCTTCCCTCCAATGTGATGTCCAATTTTTCTTTATCTAAATTGTTTGATACCCTCATCACCTTACTCTTATCTATATTCACTTTCAACTTTCTTCCTTTACACACCCTCCAAACTTGTCCACTAACCTTTACAACTTTTCTTTAGAATCCCCCAAAAGCACAGAATCATCAGCAAAAAGCAGCTGTGCCAACTCTCATTTTGTATTTAATTCCCCATAATTTAATCCTACCCCTCTCCCCAACACCTTAGCATTTACTTCTTTTACAACCCCATCTATAAATATGTTAAACAACCATGGTGACATTACATATTCCTGTCTAAGACCTACTTTTACTGGAAAGTAATCTCCCTCTCTCTTACACATCCTAACCTGAGCCTCACTATCCTCATAAAAACTCTTTACAGCATACCATGTTACTGTTTATTATTTGTGTATTGTTTTTATCAAGCTTACTTCTGAGAATCCTTATATTTTAGCTTATTATTTGTAAAAATCAGTGTATCATTCTGACCTGGCTTTTCTGAATCATATACAGTAGTGCCCCGCTTTACAGCATTTTGCCTGATGGTGTTCCACAAATACGGCAATTTCAAATGACCAAAACTTGCTATACGGCTCCCTGTCTTTCTACTACGGCAAGCCCCACCGTTCTTGTTTACATTCTCCATGAGCACTTCTCTCTATTACGTCTGGAAACTTTACAAAATTTCAAGTGTTTTAAAGTTTTGCATATTTTATATATACTGTACGTATTTTTTTTTTATTAACACATCAGCCGTTTCCCACCAAGGCAGGGTGGCCTGAAAAAGAAAAACTTTCAACATCATTCACTCCATCACTGTCTTGCCAGAGGCATACCTACACTACAGTTATAAAACTGCAACATTAGCACCCCTCCTTCAGAGTGCAGACACTGTACTTCCCATCTCAAGGACTTAAGTCTGGCCTGCCGGTTTCCCTGAATCCTCCATAAATGTTACCTTGCTTACACTGCAACAGCACGTCGAGACCTAAAAGCCATTTGTCATATTCATTCGCTCCTGTCTAACAAGCTCACGCATGCTTGCTGGACGTCCAAGCCCCTCGCACACAAAACCTCCTTTACCCCCTCCCTCCAACCTTTCCTAGGCTGACCCCTACCCCGCCTTCCCTCCACTACAGATTTGTGTACTCTCGAAGTCATTCTATTTCGTTTCATCCTCTCTACATGTCGAAACCATCTCAATAACCCTTCCCCAACCCTCTGGATAATAGTTTTGGTAATTCCGTATCTCCTCCTAATCTCCAAACTACTGATTCTCTGCATTATATTCACACCACACATTGCCCTCAGACATGACATCTCCACTGCCTCCAGCCCTCAGACACGACATCTCCATGCCTCACAACCATACAAGAGCATTGGTATAACTATACAGTGGACCCCCGGTATTTGATATTAATCCGTTCCTGAGAGCTCATCGAATACCGAAAATATCGAAAAGCAAATCAATTTTCCTCATAAGAAATAATGGAAATCAAATTAATCCGTGCAAGACACCCAAAAGTATGAAAAAAAAAATTTTACCACATGAAATATTAAGTTTAATGCAATAGAATAATTACAATAACAACAATAACAATAGAATAATTGATACTTACCTTTAATGAAGATCTGGTGATGATTGATGGGATAGGAGGAGAGGAGAGGTGTTAGTGTTTAGAAGGGGAATCCCCTTCCATTAGGACTTGAACTGGCAGCCTCACCATGCTTTACCACACTGTGTATGCCACTACGATTCTTAAATCTTTCAAACCAACCTTCGCTGGCCTTAAATTCACTCACATCACCACTAGTTGCAGGCAATTTCTTACCAAATCGTCATACAACTGCCTAGCCTTTTCACAAATGATCGTTTGAGAGATGCTATCTCCTGCTATCTGTTTTTCATTTATCCACACCAATAACAGTCTCTCAACATTTTCTAACACTTGCAGTCACTGTTTCATAATCACAGTTGCACCTTTTGCAAGAACAGCTTCCTTGAGTGCCATTTTCCTGGTTACTATAGTAGAGATGGTTGATTGGGGTTTACTATACAACCTCACCAGCTCCGACACAAGCACTCCACTTTCGTACTTTGCAATTATCTCTTTCTTCATTTCAATAGTCATTAGCACCTTTTTTCTCGAAGGGTTGGCACTAGAAGCTTTCTTGGGGCCCATGGCGACTTATTTTGCAGAAACAAGCACCAAAAACAGTGATAATATGGAATGTACCGAATGTATCCTTAGATGCGCGCACACTGGCTGGCTTGTAAACACTGGCACACACGGGGCAGTTCAGGCCACACGTGGACACATCTCGTACGAATCGCATCGAATACCGGGTTTTCGATCGGATACCGAGGCAAAATTTTTGCGATAAAATGCATCGAATACCGGATTTATCGAATGCCGATGCCATCGAATACCGGGGGTCCACCGTACTCACATACATTCCCTTCTTTGCTCTCATAGATAAAGTTCTTTGTCTCTACAGACTCCTCAGTGCACCACTCACCTATTTCCCCTAGTCAGCTCTACGATTCACCTCATCCTTCATACATATTTTATATGTACTCTGATAATTATACTTATGTGCATCTGTACCTAAATATACTTACACACTGCTGGCATGCAGGTACACATTAAAATCACTGAGAGTCTCTCTACTCTTGACGCCATACAATCTCTTGGAAGCATTAAATGT